TCCTTTATCAGCTATATGGCTTAAAAATATTTTCTCCCATTCCAGAGGTCACCCTTCCATTCTATTAATTGTTTCTGTTGCGAAAGATTTTTAATTTGGTATAGTCCCATTTGTTTATCTTTGCTTTTGTTTTTTGCTTTTTTGGTTTCACGTCCAAGAAATTATTGCCAAGACCAATGTCAAGAAACATTTCCCCCATGTTTTCTTGTAGGAGTTGTACAGTTTCAGGTCTTGTGTTTAAGTCTTTAATCCATCTTGAGTTAATTTTTGTGTATGGTGCAAGGTTGAGGTCTAATTTTATTCCTTTGTGGTCATCTAATTTCTCAATACTGTTTATTAAAAACACTGTCCTTTCCCCTTCGTATATTATTGGCAATCTGGTCAGAAATCAGTTAGCCATGGGTGTGTGTGTTTATTTCTGGGCCCTCTATTCTGTTCCATCGGTCCATATGTGTGTCTTTATGCAGGTGCCAAACTCCTTTTACAAGACCAGCATTACCCTCACACCAAAGCCAGAGACCCCACAAGAAAACTGCAGGTCAATATCCATGATGAACAAAGACATGAAAATCTTGAACAAAATAATAGCAAACTCAGTTTAGTAGTACATTAAAAGGATCGTGAGCCGTGATCAAGTGAAATCCATCCTGGGATGCAAGGATGGTTTAACATAAGAAAATCGATAAATGTGATGCACCACAGTGACAGAACGAAGCGTAAAAACCACGGCCTTCTCAATAGGTGTTAAAAAGCATTTGACCAAACTTAACACCCTTTTGTTATTAAAGTGATCAACAAACTAGATACAAAAGGAATTTACCTCAACATAGCAAAGGTCTCTTATCACAAGCCACAGTTAATACCATACTCAGTGGTGAAAAATTGGGAAGCTTGCCTCTGAGACCAAGAACACAGTAAGAGTGTCCACTGGCCACAGCAATCAGGCAAGAGAAAGAAGTAAAAGGCATCCAAATTGGGAAGGAAACAGTAAAATGATCTCTGTTTGCAGATGATATGATTCTGTATGTAGAAACCCCCAAAGACTCCACCAAAAAAAAAACCCCAACCCTGTTAGAATTAATAAATGAATTCCATAAAGTTGCAGGACACAAAAATCTGTTCCATTTCTAGACACTAATATGAGTCATCTGAAAGGGAAATTAATGAAACAATCTCATTGACAATATCATCAAAAATAATAAAATACTTAGGAACTAGCCAAGGAGGTGAAAGACTTGTCTGCTGAAAACTGCAAACCATTAATGGGAGAAATTAGAGGAGGCACAGATACATGAAATGACACCCCTGTTCATGGATTGGGAGAACTCACATTGTTGAAGTGTCCACACTACCCAAAGTGAGCTACAGATTCAGTGCTTATCCCCATCAAAATCCAAATGGCAATTTTTACAAAAATGGAAAAAAATCCTAAAATTAATAGGGAACCACAAAAGACCCAGATTAGCCAACGCAGTCTTGAGAAAGAAGGGCAAAGCTGGAGGCATCGCACGTCCTGATTTCAAAGTAAATTACAAAGCTGTGGTAACAGACAAACATTTACTCAGTGAGCTTACAGACTGCACGGGGAGTGGGAGGACATCGCTGTCCCCACGCACACGTCACCCCGTGAGCAATGTGACAGCCACGCTCTTTCCTCTTGCGCCAGATCTTCCTAATGCTTGAGTCAGGAACTGCTAATCTTCC